AGAGAGAGAGAGAGAGAGAGAGAGAGAGAGAGAGATAATTATACGATTAATGAACATTACTTCTTGCTTTTCGAATTTATCAATTATTTCATTTTTTTTCAATGTGAATTTTTCTCCACTTTTGAATTCAATTATTTCTAATTCATTTTCATTCTTATAATCATTAATGTTTATTTGTTTTCCCAGCCAAACAATATGTGTATTTGTTAAATATGTGTAGATGATAGGAAATGAAATTACAATCATTGATAAAATAAATACTGAGAATAAAAAATAATTTACCTATATAAAAGCATATGTTATAGTTTTAAAATAAAATATAAACATTTTTTTCATTAATTTTACAAACTATTACAAATTTTACATTACAGGGAAAAAATGACTTCAATTTTCTTTTTCTTTTTTTGAAAAATTCCATTGAAAACATTTTTTGAAAATAAATTTCAGTTAAAAGGAAGAAAATGACATATTGTGGATGGATGAGTATATATCAAATTTTGGCAAGTCATTGATAGCAAAAAATGGTAAATAACCAATTCGACTTTAAAGCATTTCTTCCTCTCCCAAAATCATCCTAATGAATCAGAGGAAAAGAAAAGAAATTGGCTTTCCAAATATAAAATTAAAATTTTTTGAAATAAACAATTATGCTATTTGACATGCGAAATAATTTAGGCTAAAATGTGTATGTTTTTTTATAGTTGTGTGCTATTTTTGAATAATATTTTTTGTGCGTGGCAATTTCATTTCCTTTTTTTTGGAAGCAATGGAAAAGGGAGGAAGAGAAAAATTTCAATAAAATTTTTAATGGATGACTGATGAAAATATTTGTATTATATCCGATTACTACATTAGCTTATCATTTATCAATGAAACTATCTTCGAGCAAGCCTAAAATGATGTTAAAATCTAACATTTTTCTTGCTTCTTCACAGTAATTTTATTCATTTTCTTAAAAATAAATTTTAAAAAAGCGAAAAATTTGGCAGTTTGCAACATTTCAAAACGAGGAAGTATTGATTACCAATACCATTTGCCCTTTGATCTCTTTTTATCATTTCCTCACTCGCTCATTTTATTTTCATATCCAATTTCAATAAAGAAAAAATTAGCAAAAGATTTCTCTTCACAATACAATAACAATTA